GAAAACGTTTTTTGTATTTTCTGGTGTTTTGGACTTATTGGTGTTTAGTTCAATTTTTTATTGTTGTAATCAATCTTAAATTTCTGAAGCTCCTGCAAAGGTTAGTTTCTTTTTGTTTGAGTCACATACACAATCTGAACTTATGTTTTGAACATTGATAATTGGGTGTTCAATTTGTGGGTTTAATAATAAGATTATGCTGCTTGCAGGGTTAGTTAATAGATGCAATTTATGATCCTTCAAATGTCTTCTGGAAGTTTGAAGGCTTATGACTTCCAAATTTTGTGACCTCATTCAAGGGTACAAATTATAATCAACCAAAACCAAGCTTGAAGTAATATAAACTATTATCATTAATGAAGTAGTTTTTCCTATTTTTGTTATTGATGTCTATAAATAGTATTGATGAATTATTCAATGAAATTAGTCATGGATGAACTGTAAATGGTACACTTTGAACTCCATGATTCAAATAGCTATTATATCATACTGTCCATATTCTTTTTTCATGTATGATTGCTTAACATGCTGAAAAAGAAAGACAAGGTGCTTAGGTAAAATGGTACACAAACATAATGGTGTCTCAAGAGTATTTTTTGAAACTATGAGCCTAAGTAATGGGTATTTTGTTTGAAAATGAAAGAATAATTTGGCAACCAAATCATTTTGTATAAAAAGTATAGATTTCACTGTATTCCTTTTCATAGTGAATACAACCAAGCAATGATTTGGGCCATCAATAAAATTGACCCATGACACTATTTGTCAAATAAATCAATGATACTACATCTTCCTCACTTTTATTTGATTAGTAAAAGGGGAAAGTCTATAGTCAGAGAGAGATGTATAATGATATTGGGGGTTCAACTCTCCCAAGTTTCTAATATACTAACTAATTACTGACTTTTGCCGATCACAAAAAAAAAAAAAAAAAAAATTTAGTGTCAAGTGATCTCATTAATATTTAGCAGATCCTAGCATAAACTTTCTCAACACCCAATGCCCCGTGCATCTTGAGCTGCTATGTCGAATTTAAGCTGAATTGGACACTGTTTTTTGAACCTCTAAATACTAACATTTTCATCATGATACTACTTTTTTGTCCATAATTTTAATTTTTTAGAATAGAAATTAGCCCCATTTCAAGGATCCTTATCAAAGGCAATGAAGTAAAATCAATCGACAACTTGATTTTTCACTCTGTACAAAATCAAGCAAACACTTCTATATACTCCATAAGTTTTCTTTTGTTACTTGCTTTATATTTTAAACTTCTTGTAGTGATTTTTTGAGGCACAGTTTTCTTTCAGTGCCAAATTTCAAGTCAACAGTGCAGCTTTTGGGTTATTAGTTAAAAACATAAAATTTCCAAAGGTCCAACAAAATGTAAAAACTTTTAGTTGTCATGACACCCAAACACTAGTCCATGTGAAGTGGATGGAAATGGTACATTTTTAAAGAATTTTGTTTAATCAAGGCTTCCTTATTTTCAACTGAATTCCGATGATCTTCTCATGTTCCTTAATATGTGCAGCTGTTTCGTTTCATTATCTCATCTTTGAAGTCTGGAAGATCTTCATATCTAATGGATGTTATTGTGGGTCTGCTTTATCCTGTAATTTTTTTGCAGGTATGTGCAGTATAACTTTTATTGCTTAAGGTTCCTAATTGTTCCAGAAAGTCACCAGTACATGTCATTTTTTTTTTTTTTTGAATCTATCAAACTAGCTTTCTTTTGTGAACTTTCAATCTATCCTCATTTTTTTTTTTTTTTAAAAAGGTAATTCATAATCCTGCTTGTAGCGTAAATGAACTTTCAATTGGGCTCATGTTGTGAGTGGTTTTCACCCTATTGCAGGTACATGATCTCCTCAAATATAGGTGAGGTTGCCTCAATATTTTTAACAGAGGCATTAGGGGTCCCGGAAGGCCTAATCCGTGTCCAACCCTTGTGGGTCAACCTTGTCACAGATGGACATCCTGCGACAGCCACCAAATAGGGACATCATGAAGAAACCCCCTCGCCGAAGTGATGACATGCTCATCAATCCTTGGACTTTATTCCGCTATCTGGTAAAAAGTTTGGAAAAGACGTACTTCATTAGAGGCAACTTCATTAGATGTATGAAAAAAAAGGTTTTGCTTTATATGGATTTTATTTGCATATACGTTGAGACTATTGAGATCTTGAATTTTTGCTAATTTTTCATTATGACATTGCTTTTATAGGGCTATTGAATTATCTTATTAATTTTGGAAATGTTTTGTTGATGTTTTAAAATTTCTTGATCATTTCTTAATACCTCAAGAAATATTTTTGTCCCCGAGTTGTTGGTTTTTGTACTTATGTGAAGTTTCCTTTGTCATGCAGACAAGAAATGCAACAGGGTTAGTTACTCTAGCTATTGCTGCGGATTTAGGTGCCTTAACACATATGTTGGGCTAGGGGTGCTCGCGGATCGATTTTGTGCGGTTTGCGGTTCCGTTTTGACCCGCCCGCATCTATGCAGTTTGGAAAAAAGTCAATCCGCAACCGCCCGAAGTGTGGTTTGTGGTTTGGACGGATAGGGTTTGCAGATGTGCGGGCGATTGCGGGTGGTTTGCGGTTTACACTTTTTTCTTTAAAAATTAATTTTTGAGTTTTTTTTTTCCCATCGAATTTAGGCATCAAATTCTTTTTATATATTTGTGATCATTTGACAACAATTTTCTGATGAGTTTACAAATAAAAATTGAATATCAATGCATTAAATGAAAGTACCCAAAACAAAGAGACCTTACACTAGCATTTTTGCCATGAAAAAAATGTATATCAATGCATTAAAAAAGATATATCAATGCATTAAAGGTTGTACTCAGGCCTCGTTTGGGAACATGCTAATTTAGTAACTTTTTGGCTATTTGGCTAAAAAGGTAAGTAAAAAAAACTTGTATGCTTGGGATGACTTTTTGGCTAATTACGAAAAGATGTGCAAAAAGTAGAGAGAAAAGAGAATCTTTGACTTTTTGGTATGAGTTGTTGGCTTTTTGGCTAATTTAGTAACTTTTTGGTTAATTCGCTAAAAAAGTAAGTCCCCAAACGGGGCCTCAATTAGAATTGTCAGTTCAATAATCAATAATCAAACTAAAAGTTCCATCGACCACCAGAAGGAGAATTTTATTAGGAAAAAGTAGATGAGTCACCAATGAAAATCATATAAGAAACTAAGTTTAGGACTTGATAATTCTACGGCACTAAGAAAGTTGAGAAATACTTAAAAATAAGGATCCTAGTGTCATAGAGAACATAATGGTGCTCTTGTTAAAATTACAAAATTGGTCTATAAAAAAAATAATAATAATAATTAAAGTGCGGGTGGTTTTTGCGGGTTGCGGGTTTAACCCGCGACCCTCCCGCAACCCGCAAATTTGTCATATTTCAAACCGCATCCGCCTGCATTATATTTGCGAAACCGCCCATTTATATGCGGGTTGGGCGGTTTGAGCGATTCAGATAAACTGTTGCCCACCCTTACATTGGGCACCCTCATCCCTATGATAGGGGCAAGTGGATTTGCCACAGCTGCAGCTGCAACTGCTACAAGAACTATTGTCAGTAGTTTTAGATAATCTATTAATAATTGTCGATATATTTAGAAAGTTAGATATGCATAATTTTGGATGACTGAAACTTTTTGTACAGTTTAGAACTTAAGGATATAGTTTTCGAATGTTTGGAATGTATAGACAATTGTTGAATGTTTATAATTTATGGATATAGTTTCTTTTTGATGTTTCAAACAATATTTTGGTGGTTGATTGATGTTTTGTGATGCTTGTTTGTAATATTTGTTAAATTATACAAAATTGGTCAAATAAAACTTGATGAATTTAAAAATAAAAAAAATTGCATATTCTACGGCAGGCATAATTAGTCGTCGTATTACATATTTTACGGCGCGTAATCAGCGTCATTATTTGTCTTGCCAATTAACGGCGTGCAAAAGTAGTCGTAGAAAAAATAACAACGACGCACAAAATCTGCTGTTAAATAGTTTTTGACAACATATTGTAGCATGTCGTAAAAAAAGTAACAACGACGCAAAAAATTTGTTGTTAAATAGTTTTTAACGGCGTACGAAGCATGTCATTGAAAGTGAATGACTTTCCATGACTGGTCATAATATGAAACGCACTGCATGTCATAGAAGGGTTTTTACGGCTTGTATTGCGCACCGTAAAAATCCTTTTTTTGTTGTAGTGTATGTTTGTTTCTTTAATTTCATTTATTTGAGTGAAGTTGGGGTTCTTTTTCTCATATTTTCTTGTGTTACATGAATTTACATCCAACACTCTATGTTTCAGAAATGACCAGAAGTCTCCAACTACGCCCAAAACAAAACAAGAACATTTCAAGGCCTTGGTTTCTCAAACAGCAATACCTTTCTTAATCGAAAGAACCAATCGGTTTGTAAATGAGGTTGAACTGTTCCTAGCTTCGGGTTTGAATATTGAAGCCTATGACAAAGTTTACATGCAGCATTTGGGTTGGAAAGTTTCTGGGATTACCACTGAAGGAGAAGTTAGTGGAAATGCACCTTTGGTTCCATACCTGTTTTTATTTGACGAGGACTGATGAAATTGAGTGATCATTTTGTCTTGCAAATATAAATTAATTCTTGTTTTTGTTGTATTTGTTTTGTAATCTTCATTTGGTACTCTTTTGGACGAACATTATAGTAAGTTCTGTTTTGTGTAAAAAGATGGGGTGTACCAATGGAGAGAGAAAAAGAAGTCTTTAATTTTTGGGGGGGTTCATTTTGTTTTGAGTTTCATTACCCCAAAAGGAGATTTGTATGTTGAGAGGTGAAACTTTTTGGGAAGATGATTGTGGCCTTATTTCGAGCAGATTATTGGACAGAATTATGGATAAACTGTGTAATGTTTGTTGGGTTGTGTTTGTCTTTTGTTTTTTATTTTTATTTATTAGAGCACTACTTTGTTTGGCAAGTTGTTCTTCAAAATAGTTTTTAATTTTTTTGAAAAATAACTCAGTGCTTATGGAATACTTAAGAAGTTATCTTTTAAAAATTATTTTCTTCTTTTAGTATTTTTATTTAGAAAATATGAAAAATAAAGAAATAAAGAAAATAAAATCACAAGCCTTATTAATAATAGGTGAGATTAACACATACTCATTCATCATATGATAGATTCACGGATTATGTGCCTAATGAAGAGGAAGGTTCTTCGTCTCAACAAGCACGCCATGAAAATTATGTTGTAGTTAATGACAACGAGATGGAAGTGAGGAGACATAATATTTCTATGTCAATTTGCAAACGAAATTAGGAGTTCTTTAAATATCTAGGAAGTTTTATTTTTATTGCCTTAATAGTAATTTATTGTATTTTTATTGCAATGAAATTTTCTTGTTCCCTTGTGAACTCCATATTAAAAAATAAAAAATAAAAAATTGAGGTAATGGAAAAATGTAGCAAATTAAGTACTAATTATATCAACTTCCATTAATAAAATAACTTTTTCAAAATTTAAAGTGAAGAAAATGACAAAATTACAGTTTTTATGTTCATAAGGGCAAAAATGACAATTACACAGCAAAAAGTTATTTTACAACTTATTTACCAAACACTACTCTGCTGCTTAAATCCATAATCTCGCAGCTGCACCAAACAAGTTATCAGCTTATTTTCACAGCTGGAAGCTATAATCTATAATTACTTTCCCACAGTTTTACCAAACGGGGCCTGAGTTTAGTGAGCTTAACAATATCTCTACAATTAATTTTTTTAAATCTGATTTGAAATTGTACGAGGATGAAATAATCTTCTCGTATAATCATGTTGATCAAGTTTTCACTCCTCTAAACGTCGTCGCTTTATTTCCTGAAGACACAAACGTGAGCTAGCCGGCGGCTGTATGCCAGATACCTCTCCGATGCCTAAGTTAGCAAAATAGACAATAGACAAAAAGTTCTGTGTCTTTGAGGGTAGAAATTGCGATACTTGTACATAGGTCCTATTATGAGTTTTTGTAGATTTCACCTAGCACAATCCTAGTAGGACTCCAACTCTCCTTATAAGAGTCCTCCTAGGAATCACATTCCCAAGGATAACACCCTCATCACTACAAACCAAGTGAGATGGCTGAACCTTTTACCTCGGCTGGCACTGCAGTCAACCAAGTTACTTCGGCTCTGTGCTCAACATGGGTGAGCCTTGATAACCCTACCACAGGTCGGCATCATGCCGAGCTATACCCAGCTCGGCCCATCGCCCTGCTACTAATCTCGGTCAAAAGGTAGATAGGTCCCATCTCCAGCAACACATCCAACCGTCCTGGTACTTACCTCGGCCCAAAGCTAAAATTCAAAATACCTCCTTGGCCCATTGTGCGGTCCAACTTCCAAAGAACACTCGTCCTAACTCGGCCCAATTTGTTCAAAAATTACCCTCTCAATTGCCCCTTAATTTCATCTGCGTAGTGTAGACACCCCATTTTTGACCGACCTTAAGACTTAGACATTATCGATTGAGCGCTCGATGATCGCACATGTTTGTGCTCATTTCGAGTTTCCAGAGTTTTCGGCTGAGTGCCTTGCCTCCGGGCCTCTAAACTCTTTGTGTTTTGGCTTGGTTTGTGGACCATGCCTTGTTGACCTTGCCTGGAGGGAGAGAGAGGCCTGTAGGCCACTTTTCGTAGTCGTAGACTACTTTTCCCTCTTGTAGGCTAGTTTTCGATTTTCGGAGCCTTCGGCTGAGCGCCTCGTCTCGAAACCTCTTAACGTTCTCCTCTTGGCTTGGTTTTTGGACCATGCCTTGTTGCCTTGGTCTAGAAGGAAACAGAGGTCTGTAGACCACTTTTTATGGCCGTAGACCACCTTTCCTTCTCGTAGACCACTTTTTGTGCCTGTAGACTAGTTTTCAGGGCTTCCGACTACGTGCCTTGTCCTGCGGACTTTTGTCTTGCTTCTCTTTTGGTTTAGTTTTGAACCGAACCTTGTTTTCCTTGCTTGGAGGGTGAAATAAGGGGTGTAGACCAGTTTCTCTCCCTAAAGACCACTTTTCTTCCCTGCCAGCCAGTTTTCTGGTCGATCAGCTGGTCTTGGTGGTCTGTGGACCACCAAAAGTGGTCGGCAGCCATGCCACCACCTTGCTTTCTTTATGCAGACCACTACTCCCCCTTGCCGACCACTTTCTCTTCCTGCAGACCACTTTTTCTGGTTGGCCGACCACTTCAACAGGTCGGCAGCCTTCCTGCACTTTCTACAGATATTTTCCATGCCAGTTGCGCTAGCTGTTGGGCACA